TCTCCCAGAAAGACTTGAATTTATGCCAACGACGATGGATGGAACTTCTAGAGGATTATGATTTTGAGATATACTACCATTTCGACAAGGCCAATGTAGTAGCAAATGACTTAAGTAGAAAATCTGTGGGCTCTCTGGCTAGTCTAGCGATGAGGAAATGGAAGATGATGGGGGATGCTAACGAATTTAACTTGCAACTTGGTGAATCGTTGAAACAGGCCACTCTTTTCGTCACTATTGCACAACCTACCCTTGTAACTAGAGTAATTGAAGCACAACTGGATGACTTGGAGGTGGCCATAGTTAAGGAGAAGATCTCCCAAGGGAAGGAAAAGTGGGGCTTAAATGTTCATGCGGATTCTAGTGTTCGTTACTTGGACCAACTATTTGTACCTAAATCCATGAGAAATGAGGTTTTGAAAGAATTTCATCACTCACGTTTAACAGTGCATCCAGGAGGCACCAAAATGTATCGCAACCTAAGCCGTCAATTTTGGTGGAGAGATATGAAAAAGGATGTAGCTCTGTTTGTGGCCAAGTGTTTAATCTGTCAACAAGTTAAGGCTGAACACCAAAGATCGGCTGGGCTGCTACAACCTCTTCCTATTGCTAAATGGAAGTGGGAACACATCAATATGGACTTTGTTTCTGGTCTCCCTAGAACTCAAAGAAACAATGATGCAATTTGGGTAATAGTAGATAAACTTACTAAGTGAGCTCACTTCCTCGCCATGAGCATGGAGGATTCCATAGAGTTTCTAGCTGAACTTTATATCTACGAGATAGTTTGCCTCCATGGGGTACCAATGAGTATAGTGTTTGATAGAGACTCTCATTTTACAGCTAGGCTGTGGCAGAGTCTTCAAAGTGCATTGGGTACTCAATTGAATTTATTATAGTGTAGCTCGGCTTTTTCGCAACCCCTTTCGGAAGCTAAAAAAGAAGCCCTACAGTTCAGACTCCCACGGTTCTGAATCTAATCTCACAAGTGCAATGTGAAACTGATAAACACCAAAGAGTCCAAATCCGACAAATCGTTTTGGAAAATTGATTTTGAGTCAAAAGCACCAAAATTGGATTGCTTTGCTAGATACAGAATTGCCACTTAAATATTTTATTTTTGGAGAAATTTAGGAAACCCATGACTCATGCCAAAGGCCATGTGTTCGTCATCACCAAGATTGTCTTGGCTCGGAAACTTAGGTACGAGAGGGGAAGGTCATAAATTGAACACCCCTGCTTACCCGATCAAAGATCGGCATCTACTAATCATGATATGATTTTTATTTACATTATATGCTCTTGTTCCGGTTATTAGGCTAGCATTACTACGTGATGCGCACATACAAGTATAGACTAGTTTGCTCAATTTGGAAGAACTCGACTTATGTTTGTTTGCGAAAATGGTTTGAATTTGCCACCTCAAGTGGGTTTAAAGTTTACGGATTTGCCACCAAACATAGTGGGTTTAAAACATGATTTGCCACTCAACAAAGTGGGCTTAAAACACACATTTGTTGAATCGTTCCAATTCAAACAACAAGTCTTCATCCACAAGCATTCAAGTAGTTTAGCATTTAAGCATATAGCCTCATGGGAAGCATGCTAATCATGGCAATATTCACATTCATACAAGTATGCTAAAGCGTAAAAACTCACTTAGTACTCCAAGTTAAGAAAATATGAGTTAGAAAACTATGCATGATTCCTAACTATGTAAAATGTCTAATGCAACACATACAAAAAAAAAAAATGTAATTAATAGGCTCGGTTACTAATATGGCACATGGATCGATTTGATAACATGCGATTAAACACGTATTCAAAGATTTATTGAAATAACAATGCAGTTTGAATAATGCGCCGAGCCCCGGTGCATGCAAGACAAAATGAATGTATACAAGCATGATGTATGCTAATTTGAAACATGCCTCTAATCTAACCATTAAAAGCGGGTAAATAAAAGGGAGAAAGACGTGGGATTGGAAAACATACACGCGCGCACGTACACTTATTACAACATTACATCCTCACGAAGGAGGGTCTGAATGAATAAGCTAACTAACTAATTATTACAAGACTCGATTGAATAATTAACTAACTATCTAAGTTAATTAAATATTACAACATCAACTAATTAGCTACAACTAATTAGACTAATTAAATATTACAAAACAATTTGCTATGCTAATGAAACAATTAAATAACCAAACGCATTTGATATGAGCATGACGAAAGATGGATGGAGGTTACATGCGCATCGCCTGAAAGCTGCTCTGTTTGCCCTAGACTGCCTCTGTTTCTACAAAAATGCATTGCTGGCCACACACCAAGGGCCGGCCATGCATTACTGATGGCCAGCCGGGTCTACAGAGGGCCGGCCGTGCTTTGATTTGGTGCAAACTCTGTTTTTGTGCTCTGAGGTGAAATCAGTGCAGATAGAGCATTTTCAAGCTCTGTTTGTCCTTCCTTCCTTCTCTGTCATAGGAAAATCTCAAGAGAATGTTGGGATTGACTCCAAAACCACCAATGAGCAATATGATCGCTTGATGATCTCGGAGATCATCTTGGACCAAAAATCAATAAATGTAATGCAAATGGACCACCCCTCCCTTTTTGTCATGGAATGAACTTAAAAAAAAGGAAGTTGATACGCTTTAAGGAAGGAACTTGGCATAACGTCCGGCCAAGTTCAAGCGATTTAAGCCATTTTCTTTAGGTTTGTTAATCCAAGTTTTAAGCCAATTATTTTAGGCCTTGCCATTCATTAGTCTATTTGTCCATGGTGATGTTAAAGTCCTCTAAACAAGAAATAATATCAAACAAGAGGTCGTTCCAAACTCTGTTTTTGTGCTCTGAGGTGAAATCAGTGCAGATAGAGCATTTTCAAGCTTTGTTTGTCCTTCCTTCCTTCTCTGTCATAGGAAAATCTCAAGAGAAGGTTGGGATTGACTCCAAAACTACCAATGAGCAATATGATTGCTTGATGATCTCGGAGATCATCTTGGACCAAAAATCAATAAATGTAATGCAAATGGACCACCCCTTCCTTTTTGTCATGGAATGAACTTAAAAAAAAGGAAGTTGATACGCTTTAAGGAAGGAACTTGGCATAACGTCCGGCCAAGTTCAAGCGATTTAAGCCATTTTCTTTAGGTGTGTTGATCCAAGTTTTAAGCCAATTATTTTAGGCCTTGCCATTCATTAGTCTATTTGTCCATGGTGATGTTAAAGTCCTCTAAACAAGAAACAATGTCAAACAAGAGGTCCTCCCAAAACATGAGAATGAGACTACACTGTCGACAATGAAACTCCGAAGAGATTAAGCCATTAAGTATAAGTCTCCTTTACATGCATTGAGCAACCTCAATTGGTTGAAACCATTCTCATGAATCAAAGCTATGAAATGATTGATTGATTAGCAAACTTAAACTTCAAACATGGAAATGAACAAAGAAAGTGTATTAAACAACAAGCAAACCAACTTATGAGAACTCAAGTGTATCAAACAAGGCATGAACCAATTGAAAAAGCTTAGACAACCTCAAAACAGTACTAAATACATGAAGATCAGGGGTGAAACATGCATGAAAAGGGGTTAAAAAGCTAGACAATAAAGATGAGGATTAAGGCTAGTAAACAAGGGTGAGGAGGGGTGGCTAACCCCTCCATTTTTGAAGCTTCAAAGCATGGTTTTCAGCCTTTTTAAACCTCTGAAAATCAGTATAAATACCAAAGGAAAAGAGTTAAAAGGAAAGGGTTTGAGTTATGAACAAAGGTGTAGAAAGAGTAAGCTCTCTCTACTCTTTTGGTAACCCTTCAAACCCAACTCCAACACTTCAAACAAACTCAAAACCAACCAAAACAGCTAGAATAATGAAGTAAATGATAGAAATTAAGGCAAGAAAAGAGAAAACAAGCTTATACCTTTCAAGAAGTAAACTTGTTCTTGGAGTTTCAAACTTGGTTTCAATGCACTCTCAAGTTTGAATTACACTTCCTCAAGATTAACCAAGGCTTTAGGATGGTAAGGCAAGGTTGTATATGATGTATATAGGTGGTGTAAGCAAGCTAGGTTAGCTCCAAGGTAACTTGCAATGGAAGAAGGAGGAGTGAAGGGCTTTCAGGGTGTATATATCTCTTCTTGAATTTCTTTCAACCCTCAAAACAATCCCAAAGCTTCGGTTTTATAGAATTCGAGCTGAAAAGGTGATAAATATCTTTAAAAATGGACAGCTGGTGGCCTCCAACCTAGAATAGTGTTTATCGCCATCGAAGGCTGGCCGACCATTAATAGCTATGGCCGGCCATCACTAATGCACGGCTGGGCCTTGATGGCCTCCTCTGTTTTTTTTGGTTCAAACTCACCTCAGGGTGAGAAATGGTCTAAAAATGAAACCCAAGGGTTCAAACAAGGTAAATGTTGAAGATGTGAGGTTATTTCGGAAGCCTGACTGATTTCGAATCGCTGCAGATTCACAATTCAACTTTTATCATTGAGTGTATTAAACTAAGCGTCTGAGTCTTACGGGCGATCAAAAATGGGGTGTCTACATACAGCTTATCATCTCCAAACCGACGGACAATCGGAACATACTATCCAGATTTTGGAGGACATGTTGAGGGCATGTGTGCTAGATTTTAAGGGCTCTTGGGAGAAGCATATACCCTTAGTTGAATTTGCTTATAATAATAGCTACCAAGCAAGTATTGAAATGGCACCCTTCGAGGCATTGTATGGGTGTCCATGTAGATCACCGGTGTGTTGGGCAAGAGTGGGAGATTCACCCTTACTAGGACCAGATCTAGTTCGTGAAACTATGGAGAAAATAGTCCTCATTCGGAAAAGGTTAGTTACTGCTCAAAGTCGACAAAAGTGCTATGCAGACAGAAGAAGATGACCTTTAGCTTTTGAAGTTGGCGATCATGTGTTCTTGAAAATCTCTCCTAGGAAAGGGTTGATGAGATTTGGCTGAAGTGGAAAACTATCATTGCGATATATGGGCCTTTTTGATGTCATTGAGCGGGTTGGAGAAGTTGCCTATTGTCTTGCATTGCCACCCCAGCTCTTTGGAGTTCATGACGTGTTTCACGTGTCAATGCTTCGCAAATACGAACCCGACCCCTCCCATGTGTTAGATTGGACAGAGATTGAAATAGATGAAGATGTATCACATGAAGCAAAACCACTCCAAATCCTAGATTCCAGAGAACCAGTTTTGAGGGGTAAAAAAATTCGCTTAGTTAAAGTATTGTGGTGCCATCATGGTGTGGAGGAAGCTACATGGGAGCGTGAAGCTGAAATCCGCAAAAAGTACCCAGATTTGTTATCTCGTGTGTAATATACTTGTTTTGTTACTTTTTTATTTTTTATTTTTTATATGTAATTAGTGGAAAAATGAGCTATAACTATTAGTATTCTATCATCCTCGGTTTTTGGAACTAAATTGGTTTATGTTGTTTAAATACGAGATTATGGCGGATTGGGAAATATATTGTAGTACCATATTTTGCTGTCATATTAGGAATTGTAGAAGATTGATGAATGTATTGATGTTATCATATCTGATTAGGTTGAGTTTGGGCACTAATTTCGAGGGCGAAATTCCTTAAGGGGGGAGTTTATGACACTTTTGTTTCTGGGTCCGCTCGAGTGTAAAAAGATGCGCTTGAGCGGAAAATTTCAACTCTCAATATCTTTTGAGTTTGTAGGTGGGACGCTCAAGCGCAGGAAGTGGCGCTCGAGCGGAGAATGTTGGCTCCCAATTGTTTTACTATAGCTCTGCAAGACTTCTGGCAGTTGTCATTTTACGCTCGAGCGAGTGATTCGTCACTCGAGTGGGCCTCTTAGTTTGTGCCTTACGCTTGAGCGGGAAATGTGACACTCGAGCGGACTGTGCGAATTCAACAACTTTAAAAACGTGATTGTAGATCTTTCCTTCCACTTTTCATTTCTATCTTCCCTCTCCTCCCCTCTTTTCCCAAAAACCCTGGTTTCTCACTCTAAAATACCTTCCATTCCACTAAGATTTGGCTTGGATCACCTAGCAAAAAGTAAAGAACATTTGGAGATCTTACTCTTCCGCCGATTGGATCTTGGTTTTGTGAAGGATTCTTCAAGGGGCTTCATTTTCTTCCTACTTGTAGAGATAGGGATACTTTTACCCTAGTATTTTTTTGCTTTGAATGGATTTCATGGTGTAGTTGTGGTTCGTGAGCCAATTTGAGAATATTTTTGGACTATTCCCATGTACTACATAAGAAACCATTTTTATTTGACTCATGCTTGAAATTTCTTTATACTCTTCTCTCACAATATGTATATAAATATTGTTGAAACCCATTTCTATGATAAACAAGACAAACCCCCAAATTTAGTAAAACCCTAAATTTTCAATTTGAGTTGAAAACCCCAAATTGAATGGAATTTCCTTTACTTATAGAATGTTGTGAATAATAAAGAGGTGAAAGATGTGGAAGTTGTTATGGTAAATGAATTGAGGCTTGAATGTTATTTTCTTTAAAATGTAGTGTTGTATTCCATTCTCTGGTAATGTGGATGCTTGTTGATTGAAATAAAATGTGATTGAATTATTGATTGTGCATGAGTGCAGGTAAGTGTAACACCCCGAAAATAATTACAATAATCCAACCCAACACAATTTACGCAAGATAATATAATCGAAATGATAGACTTTCATTAATCTGAATTGATATACAAAATTGACACATGCGATATACATTAATAAATAGTTAATCCTAAATCTACAGCATGTGCTACAAGTAGTAAAGAGGAATGAAAGTTAAGCAGATATTTAAATTCCTTAAGGTCTTACATTTTTCCAAGTCAGTGCTTGGTTACAACAAAAGCGAGACTAGCTCAATACAAATAAAGCCCGGGGCTATACAAAAGAAAGGGCACAAAAGGAAGCTCTTGCTCCAAAGTCCCTCCAAGCTATTGCCTTGGCGGAGACATGTCATTAACACCTGAAAATGGTTTTTCCCAAATAGAGTGAGCTAAAGCCCAATAGGAACAATCTAATACAGTATATGGATCTTAACAAAGATATAAGTATAGTGCATATTTACAATGCCTGTGATAAAACATTCATATTTTATATAATCATAAAGTACTAAAATTTACATCTCATTCCCTTTTCCCTCTCGTCAATACAAGTTAATTCATTTCATCTCATTTCATGAGCCAATTTTATTATCTTTCAGACAACCCATCTGAGACTACAACTCAGTGGTTCCCATATTAACACAATTATCACATAAATACATCAATCTACCATTTTACGGAAATTTCATCTATGGGATCGGCACCCATGTAAACACGCGGTTTCAGGACTTTCACTCTGGACACACAGGCCAACTTAATTTCAATGGAGTTCATCTCCTATCTCCTCTCAAAACATGGAGTACATCCCCTTTCTTCTCCCAAACATCATACATATACAATGTATTTAAAACATAGTCATATTCAATGACAACCAACAAGAGATTAGTTTCAATTCACCTAATCCTCATGCAATTTCTACAACAGTCATAGCTATCCTCCACCGATAGCCCAATACAGATATTTCTAAACAGATATTTAATCTCAAGATAGATAAATTATTCAAAATTCCACGGTGAGAAACAATACATATTTACTTCTACCATTTAAGTGTGTATCCAACCAATTTCACATTTACAATACCAATTCCAATCATTTATACAAAAATAACTATTGGGACCATTATAGGGCAAACTCCAATTTTTCCCAAATTTCACTCCAAGTGCCCAAAATCAACCATCTTGCCACCATACAACATTATATTTAACCCCATATCCATTGTTACCACATATACATGAAAATCCCCTTTTGATTTCACACCCAAACCCTAGGTTTGTCCATAATACACCCAAAGCCTACCATTGTTACACAATAAACAAATAACTAAGTTAAAACCTATATGGAAGTGTAGGAAATCCTTACCTCAAGTGTAGAAACCCAAAGGAGGAGTGGAGAAACCTCAAAAACGTCGAAATCACACTCTATTCGGATGTAATGGTAGCCCTTGAGATGCTCCACCTTTTTACCAATGGGAGTAGGGTAGAGAGATCCTTAGATACTAGTAGATTTGTAGAGAGAAGTCGGATTTTAGAGAGAGAAGGAGCTGGTCTAGGGTTTTTGAGTGAAAAGATATCCAAAAAGTGATGAAAAAAGTGCTGCTGTGAACTGATATACATGAGGCTCACTTGAGCGCAAGAGTTGTCGTTCGAGTGACTAGACACAATAAATGGCCTCACTCGAGCGCAAGAAGTGTTGCTCGAGCGCAAATACATACTCCAAGAAGTTTTACAGACACATACCATCGGTCGAGCACAAAAAGCCTCGCTCGAGCGAAGAACACTACCCTCTCAGTATAGCTGTAGGCCTGTAAAAATATTGGGAGCTCACAAAGCTCGCTCGAGTGCAAGAAGCCTTGCTCGAGCGAAGAAGCAATTTTTTGGACAATAAGAATTTGACCAACTAGCAACCAACTTGTTCCAAACTTGCCCAAGACACTTCAATACTCCAACTCAGACAAATGAGGGAAAATTAGACATGAATAACAGTATTAAACCGCAAAATCCGAGTCCGAGATACAACAAAGTCGGGTCAAAACCAGAATCGCTATAGTAAGAGTCAACTTTGAAAGTGTGGTGTGGTGTTAGTACCCGCTCGGGGAGTTTAAAAGGTGCCCAATTGCCCTGTCTAAACTTATCGCTAGACGAATGTGGGAAAAATGGTTTTTGGGTGTCCACACAGTCCCACCGTATAATAGCCGGCAAAAGTGGAAAAACGGATGGTTTTCTTTGGGTGCCCACTTCTTGCCGTATAATAGCCAGAAAATGTAGGGGTGGTTTTTAAAACAAAAGCAAATGGTGCTTTAAATTGGACTCTTACAGGAGGACTCATGGCTTGTCATCTATGGTTGTGAATGTTTAGGTGTGGTGCTTGATGGCATGAATTGCGTGGTGCCAGATGATGTATATTATAATTTGTCACTCGAGTTATTATGTATCGCTATGATTGATTAAGACCATATGTGGAGTTAAATTTCATGTTCTGTTTTGTCACAAAGATACCATAACCCAATTTGAAAAAACTAAATACTTGGTTAAATGTATTCATACTAGGTATATAGCTCAACCCTATGTTATTTTTCAGGAATTGACGAAGTACCACCCCCTTGATGGATGGGATCCAGCTGTAGCTCTTTTTGGGAAGAAGTTGACTCAAGTTTATTATGATATTTTGAATTGGGATTTTTTTGTAACAAGACTATCAAGTTATTTTGTTGTTATTGTATGCCCTAGAGGCTTGCAATTTGTAAGGCAATCTAGTTCATTGAACTGGCATATGAATCTTGAATCTTGTGAGATTGTACATGGTGAATTGTAATCCTTTAACTTTTAGTTCAATGAAAAGGATGACTTTTGAGTATATTCTTGTGTTTGACTTAGCCTTTCCTTGTGAGAAATTCCAGGGCGTTACAATTTCTCTTTAGCGTATACACTGAGATCTTAATGGTTTGGCTGTTCTGACATGGGCTCTCTCTCCCTTGCTCTCTATACAGTGTTTTGACATCCTCTCATTGGTCTTGGGAGACACATACCATCGATCGAGCACAAGAAGCCTCGCTCGAGCGAAGAACACTACCCTCTCAGTATAGCCGTAGGCCTGCAAAAATATTGGGAGCTCACAAAGCTCGCTCGAGTGCAAGAAGCCTCGCTCGAGCGAAGAAGCAAATTTTTGGACAACAAGAATTTGACCAACTAGCAACCAACCTATTCCAAACTTGCCCAAGACACTCCAATACTCCAACTCAAAGACAAATGAGGGAAAATTAGACATGAATAACAATATTAAACCGCAAGACCCGAGTCTGAGATACAACAAAGTCGGGTCAAAACCGGAATCGTTATAGTAAGAGTCAACTTTGAAAGTGTGGTGTGGTGTTAGTACCCGCGCGGGGAGTTTAAAAGGTGCCCAATTGCCCTGTCTAAACTTATTGCTAGACGAATGTGGGAAAAATGGTTTTTGGGTGTCCACACAGTCCCACCGTATAATAGCCGGCAAAAGTGAAAAAACGGATGGTTTTCTTTGGGTGCCCACTTCTTGCCGTATAATAGCCAGAAAATGTGGGGGTGGTTTTTAAAACAAAAGCGAAGGGTGCTTTAAATTGGACTCTTACAAGAGGACTCATGGCTTGTCATCTATGGTTGTGAATGTTTAGGTGTGGTGCTTGAGGGCATGAATTGCGTGGTGCCAGATGATGTATATTATAATTTGTCACTCGAGTTATTA